TCTGAACTAGCCTTATTTGATGACTTGGAGGCAGAGCACTCCACTGCTGTTCCAGAGCCTGAAGCGGAGCAGGCAGAACATTCTGCAGCATTTGAAGATCCTGAGGAACAGGCAGGACAACTTGCTTGTGTCATTTTAATGTTCCTGGTCTTGAGGTAATTTCTTGCTCTGTTTTCAACTTTATCTGGTCTCTGCAGCTCTGCCCTGTCTTCGTCTAATTGATATTTCTGTTTTTAGGTAGAAGAGATCAGAACTGCTGGGACTATGGCTGTGATGACTAGTCCTCTCAAGCCTCCTATTGTAGCCGTAAGTGTTTCTGTGCCTTAGCCTTTTCTTTTATTTTGATTCTGCCTGAAACTGACTTGTATTCTTCCTTTGCAGATGCCTATCCATTCTCTTTCATGTTCATCTACCACGGCCTCCTTTGCTGATCTAGAATTGGCAAAGTTTGAAGCTATGGATTTAGATGCTCAACTGGAGAAACTTGAGAAGCTTAGCTCTACTCCTAGCAAGGCTAAATCCAAGGTTGTGGATGAGGCAGTGGAAAGGGTAAAAATCTGGCAGTCGACTGAGCTGGACCTGGATGAAAACAGAGAAGCTGTTGATCAATTGATGAGGGATCTGGACCTGCTGCATAGACAGAACATGGCTCCCAAGCCCATTCTTGAGATCAGCCTGGACTTGTCAAGAGATGTGCTCAACCTTCATGACCGCTATGAGGATCTCAAGCCAACCTTCAAAGCCTTCGAGTTCTCCAAGACTACTCATGAAGCCAATTTGGCTGATTATGAAAAAGAGAAGGCATAACTGGACACAATGGTTGCAAGCTACAAAGAAGCCAAGAACATTGTTGACAAATTGGAGAAACAAATTGAAGAACTTCAAAAACAGCTGGCAGATTGGAGGGCAGTGCAGAACAAGCTTGGGGCTGGACTGGGTTCTAAGACTAACGCCACTTTTCTTGTGTAGGGCATGGTTTCAGCTTCCAGGCCAGCGCTGAAAATTGCAGAGGCTTCAATCTACCAGGGGGTGCTGCTTCAGAAAGAACTTTCCACCAAAAAGACCAACTTGCAAGAAACTCTTAGGAAACTAGGACTTTGAATTTCAAAAACTTGAATGTAATAAAACTTAGTCATGAAAAATGACTATATTTAATATAAAAAAATTTGGTGAAACTTCGCATTTTCAATTTCTTGTATTTTAAGTGACATAAAAAGAAAGCAGAAAATAAAACACACTTAAAAATAATACTAAAAGCACTACTCTTAACAAAATTCAAATAACAGTTCTATCTTTTTCTTCTTCAATCACAGGATCTGTTTGTACTGCCTGTGAATCCCACATAGTTGGATAGAACTTCTTTAACCATTTGCCATTGATTAGCGCAGCATGGATGTCTCCCTCTTGATCCTGTAATCTGTATGCCCCCAGTCCAAGGACTTGCTTAATTATGAAAGTACCTTCTATGTGTGTTCCAAAGGGCAGAATTGCCTTCCAGAGTATTTCTCACTCTTCAAAACTCTTGTTTTTAACTCTTTTGTTATAGGCCCTTACTACAGCCTGTTTTCCTGCTAAGAGTTTGTTGAGGGTATCAATTCTGCTGGTATCCAAACCTTCTAGTTCTAGTAGCATTGCGTGAGAGTAGTCTTCTCCAACCAGATTGTGTCGCTGAGCAATTCTGAGAGATTGGACTGCTATCTCCATAAGCAGAATTGCATCGTGACCATAGGTTAGAGCATATGGGGTCATGCCAGTTGCATCTCTCTTTGAAGTTCCATATGCTCAGAGAGTTTCTGATAATTTCTCATGTTATTGCTTTGGATTTTTCTCAAGCATTTACCTGATAATATTGATGATCATCTTGTTACTTGATTCTGCCTGCCCATTAGCCTTAGCATAATAAGGAGTGGATTGAAGTAGTTTGAACTTGAATGCTTCTGCCATATCTAGCATTTCTCTATATATGAAAGAAGATCCCTTGTTAGTTGTGATTGACTCTAGAATACCAAATCTTTGTATGATCTGTTCTTCTATGAAGGTGATGATCTCTTGAGATGTGGTGGATTTAACAGGTTTGGCTTCTACCTATTTGGTGAAATAGTCTGTAGCTACGATGATGAAACAGTGTTGTTTGCTACTGGCTGGATAGATTTTGCCAATGAGATCCATTGCCCATCCTTTGAATGACCATGGCTTAACCACTAGATTCATGGAAGCTGAAGGAGCTTGCTGGATTGGTCCATGTCTTTGGCAAGGCTCACATCCTTTGGAATATTCAATGCAATCTTTCATCATAGTTGGCCAGAAGTGGCCATATCTTCTAACTAACTAGCACATCTTGATTTTGGGAAATATCCATGGGGTGCTGTGTCTTATGCGAAGACAAATGCGTCACTGCTGAGGGCACTGTGTGCAGATTACCAGCGAGTGAAAGGGCCCAAAAAAGCTTCGAAAACAAACAAATCTAAAAAGCAAGTAAAGACAACGGCAACTGGTAGACCAAGAGAGTACCACCTGAAGGGTTTTGCCTTTGCACTTCAGGTGAGCACATTTCGATTCCTGTTGAAGTTAAATATCATTTGTTTACAGTAATGGGTTCTAAAACAGTAATGGGGGAGAGAGAGAGAGAGAGATTGAGAGCTGCATTGGAGGAGCTAAAACATCATTTGTTCATGTTTATTTTATGTAATTATTACTTATTTGGGGGATTGATTGGTTTAGTTTGAAGGATGAA